CCTTCCTTCTGTCACCCAATCCTGCTCGTTAGTCCTGTTGGCTGAAGCAGAAGTGTTGTGCCTGGAAGTGTGTTGAGAAGGAGGCTGTGCCAGTTCTCAGATCTGTCTTTTAAATTACACAGAATGATTCCAAAGGTCCAAAGAAAGGGTCCATCAATCTGACGCTTTGTGCTGCAGTCCGCAAGAATTTGAATGTCAGCGACGTTGCAGTGGAGAACAGCAAAGGTAATGCCAGAGGGACTAAATGGTTACATTTGGAAACTCCTCTGGGGTGACGTGGCTGGGGAGAATCAGAGTGCAATAAGCACTCAGAGCAATGACACGCCCGTTGTCTTTGTTAGGGGCCTTGCCAGCAGCAGGAGAAGATGAAAAGGAAGACAATGACTCGCCCTGGGATTCTGAGGTACCTACTCTGGAGGAGGCAGTGAGGTCCCTCTGGATCAGTGGCTTCGAGGCTCCTTTCCCTGTGCTGTTGCTTTGCCACATGCTTGTACCTTGGCCCTGGCCATGCCAGTGCTGCAGACAAACTGTTCAGAGAGCGCTGGGACAAAGTGAGGTCAAGATGATATCCCTGCTCTCCTTGCAACTGACCTCCAAACTGGATTTCTAGAGCAAAGCAGTAAAGCTTTCTGCTGCTTACTGTCCTCTGAAATGCTACAAGGCTGGAGTTGGAAGGATTGCTCTTTTCCGCCTCACAGCCTGCTTTCTGGGATCCAGGAATGTCAAATGGTTCCCTTCTTCCCCACAGCCTAGAGATGTATTTCTCCTGCCTAGGTTCTCTCTGGATTGGGCTGGGGTGCTGCATCCCCTTTTGAAAGCCCTGCTCAAGAGAGATGCCGAATGTGCTAGCTGTGTTTGCCCGTTTCCATCCTTCCATCACCCAATCCTGCTCGTTAGGCCTGTTGGCTGAAGCAGAAGTGTTGTGCATGGAAGTGTGTTGAGAAGGAGGCTGTGCCAGTTCTCAGATCTGTCTTTTGAATTACACAGAGCGATTCTGAAGGTGCACCAGAAAACGTGCTGCCTCCTGCTGCAGTTGGCAAGAGTTTGGATGTGCGTCCTGTTGCAGTGGAGCACAGCGAAGGTAATTTCAGAGATACTAAATGGTTACCTTTGAAAACTGCTATGGGGTGAACTGGATGGGGAGACGCCGAGTGACATAAGCGCTCAGAGGAATGACACGCCTGTTGTCTTTTCTTAGGGGTCTTGCCAGCAGCAGGAAAAGAGAAGAAGGAAGAGGATGACATTTCCTGGGGAGATGAGGACTTGTCCTGGCTCTTGGAGGTACCTACTCTGGAGGGGGCAGTGAGGTCGCCCTGGATCAACATCTTCTGAGTTCCTTTCGCTGTGCTGCTACTGTTGCCACATGCTTGTACCTTGCCTCGTGACATGCCAGTGCTGCAGACAAACCATTGAGTTAGTGCTGGGACAAAGTGAGGTCAAGCTCATGTCCTGGCTCTCCTTGCAGCTGACCACTGAGCTGTATTTCTAGAACAAAGCAGTAAAGCTTTCTGCCGCTTACTGTCCTCTGAAGTGCTACAAGACTGGTGTTGTGAGGATTGCTTTTTTTTCACCTCACAGCCTGCTTTCTGGGATCCAGGAATGTCCAATGGTTCCCCTATGCCCTACAGTCTAGACATGTATTTCTCCTGCCTAGGTTCTCTCTGGAATGGGCAAGGGTATTTCATGTCCTTTAGAAAGCCCTACTCAAGAGAGATGCTGAATGTGCTGGCTGTGTTTGCCCCTTTCCTTCCTTTTGTCACCCAATGCCGCTCGTTAGTCCTGTTGGCTGAAGCAGAAGTGTTGTGCCTGGAAGTGTGTTGAGAAGGACGCTGTGCCAGTTCTCAGATCGTGTCTTTTAAATTACACAGAATGATTCCAAAGGTCCAAAGAAAGGGTCCATCAATCTGACGCTTTGTGCTGCAGTCCGCAAGAATTTGAATGTCAGCAACGTTGCAGTGGAGAACAGCAAAGGTAATGCCAGAGGGACTAAATGGTTACCTTTGGGAACTTCTCTGGGGTGACATGGTTGAAGAGAAGCAGAATGAAATAAGCACTCAGAGCAATGACACGCCCGTTGTCTTTTGTTAGGGGCCTTGCCAGCAGCAGGAGATGACGAAAAGGAAGACAATGACTCGCCCTGGGATTCTGAGGTACCTACTCTGGACGAGGCAGTGAGGTCCCTCTGGATCAGTGGCTTTGGGGCTCCTTTCCCTGTGCTGTCGCTTTGCCACATGCTTGTACCTTGGCCCTGGACATCTCTGTGGTGCAGACAAACTGTTCAGAGAGCGCTGGGACAAAGTGAGATCAAGCTGATGTCCCGCCTCTCCTTTAAGATGACCTCCAAGCTGAATTTCTTGAGCAAAGCAGTAAAGCTTTCTGCTGCTTTCTGTCCTCTGAAATGCTACAAGGCTGGAGTTGGGAGGATTGCTTTTTTCCTCCTCACAGCCTGCTAGTATTCCAGGATCCAGGAATGTCAAATGGTTCCCTTCTTCCCTACAGCCTAGGTTCTCTCTGGATTGGGCTGGGGTGCTGCATCCCCTTTTGAAAGCCCTGCTCAAGAGAGATGCCAAATGTGCTGGCTGTGTTTGCCCGTTTCCATCCTTCCATCACCCAATCCTACTCGTTAGGCCTGTTGGCTGAAGCAGAAGTGTTGTGCATGGAAGTGTGTTGAGAAGCAGGCTGTGCCAGTTCTCAGATCTGTCTTTTAAATTACACAGACCGATTCTGAAGATGCACCAGAAAATGTGCTGCCTCCTGCCTCAGTCAGCAAGAATTTGGATGAGCGATCTATTGCAGTGGAGCCCAGCAAAGGTAATTTCAGAGATACTAAATGGTTACCCTTGTAAATGTCTATGGGGTGAGAGACATGGTTGTGGAGAAGCAGAGTGACATAAGCGCTCAGAGTAACAAGACCATTTTTACCTTTTTTTTAAGCTATCCTGCCAGCAGCAGGAGCAGGGAAGGAAGAAAATGTTGACCCTTCTTCTGAGAATAAGGTACTTAGTTCTGTTCTGGCTGAATTGCATTGCCTTTGGCTGAAGTGAGATGCAGTGTGATGCTGCACTCTTGACGAGGATTCGTTTCTCCACTGTGTCTCTGTTTCCTTGCTCACTTAGCTGCCTACATTGGAGAGAGAAAAGCTTCAGCTAAGATTTGATTCTTCAACTCAAACAGATTCTCAGCTGGACATACAGGTGACTCTTAGTAGAGGCAGATGCAGATATATCCCTAAATAGAGCCTGTCAGTGTAAGCACAAGTGATCTTACTCCTGAGTTCATTTTGAAATACTTCTGAGAGGAGGTGATTGAGTCTGGATCTGCGCTACACTTTGGACCTCATTTCGATGGCATTCTGAAGCAGGAAGGGCTGGAATAAGGCTTGCTGCAAGTCCCATTTAGCTTCACTTTGAACACTTCCTTAACTTGGTCAAGTGTCCCACCACAGTCCTTGCAAAAAACTTATTTCTTATGCCCAATCTAAATCTACCCTCTTTTCGTTTTAAACCACTGCCTCTCGTCGTGCCGCGTCTGGCTTCTGTAAACATCTCTCCTCTCTTTTTACATGAAAGACAGCAGTAAGTTCTGCCCAAAGCCTGCTTCTCTCTGGCTGAAAAAGCCCAAGCCTCTCAGCCTTTTTTCATGGGAGAGCTGTTCCAGCCCTCTGGACATTTATGGCCTTCCTCTGGACTCATTCCATCAGGTCCATGTCTCACTTGTGCTGGGGGCCCCAGAGCTGGACAGTGCTCCAAGTGGGGTCCCATGAGAGCAGAGTAGAAAGTGACGATGCCCCCCTCACCCTGCCAGCCAACCTGATGACCGACCTCTTTATATAATGCCATCAGTAAAAGCATCTCTTGTGTTGTCATGTTCTTACTGCTTTCTCCATGTTCATGGAACACCATTTCTTTAGCCATTGCTCACGCAGCTGCTGGAAATGCTTGATGAAGTTCTCAAAACAAACTCTCCGGCAGAAGCTTCACTTGCAACTATGAAGACCCACAGCAAGGACGTGAAGGAACAGAAAGTGCTGATGCAGGAGAAATTGGAGAGGTCTGAAACTAAGGTATGGGAAAGCCTGTCTCTTGGCAGGGGCCAAGGCCTTCTTTGTAGTGCACTAGAGCAGGAAACTGATTTTTCCTTGAGAGTTTGATGTAACACGAGATGATTTGGTGTGCAGCTAGTTGTGATGGGAAGGAACAGCAACGCTGCCTTTGGTGTCTGCCTGTTGGCATGACTTGAAGGGACAGTGGAGGGCTGCACTAAGGTGGTGTAGGGATGGAAAAATTCTATGTGAAAGATTTACTCGAGGAGGATAAAAGAATTTTCAGTCAAGCAAATTTTGGCTGCTAGGAAAGGCCCAGCATGGGGGAAAATTATTTCCCATGAATAGCACTGTCTATATATCTTTGGCTGCCTGTTGAAGAAGCTCACTCCACTGTTGCAAGAAGAGAGAACACATTCCCACAGACATGCTGTGGGGTCCCTGCTGGGGAGAGAAGATAGTCCGTAGGATAGGGAGAGAACACAGCTTTGAAGTTATGTGCATGCAAAAGGTGTTGATATAAAAAGCACCCAGGTTACAGGCTGCACACTCCTTCCTTCTGCTGTGATTTTTAGCAGGGTATTTTAGGGTTTTTGACTTTGGAGTAAACTTTGCCTTAACACCTTCACCTTGCCTTGCTGTATGGGGTTACCTGTGTGAGTATGAACTCCAACAGGTGGTCTTAGTATACTGGACAACTGTGCAACAGGAGTTAGTTGAGCGACATATAATTGACTCAACTAGTTTTATAAACCTGGTGCTTATGATGACAAAGATCACTATCCATGAAGCACTTTCTCCTTCATTGGACAAGCACATGTGTATTCCTGTCAAAAAGCTGCTTCTCAAGTTTTGCAAAGCAGACTATGTGCTGATGGAGGAGGGGTAGGCATATTGGAGTGCTGAGCTGATGCTTCGTAGTATTTCCTCATCACACCATCATAGTCATGGAGTTGCAAAGTCACTTTAGGAGCAGGAGGAGCTTCTAACTGTGTTGGAGTAACCAACCGTCTTGGTTCTGGCCAGGACAGGGTTAATTTTTGCAAACACCAGGAGGGGACGTGGCTAAGACAGAATCACTATTCTGTACCACTTCAGGTCATTGGTGGGTGTGGGGGAAGGGAATCTCTTCTGGAGAGAACAGGTCCCTTCTGGTTGAGTAAGTGTGGTGGGGAAGGAGGAGTTGGATAACGCCAGTGCTGAGCATTTTGTATGTGGATCACTTGCCCGTCTCTTGCACCCTTTTGGAGGAAGTAACGTAGGTTTCAAGAGTTTTCAGGAGTGTCAAAGCAGTCCAGTTTTTTCAAACAAACGTTAGCTGTCTACTGAGGATTCTTGTTGGGGTTTGACATCTGCAGGAACCGAAAGAGCGTCATGTCCAGAATGAATGTTCTCCTGAGTCACTGAAGAACGCCCCAAAGGAGAAGGGAGTAAGAATTCCCAGGAACCTGCAAGACCTTCCTCCTTTACAGAACATGCCTTTACGTGCAGCTGTTCGTGAGCTGAAAGAACGCTTTCATCGGTAAGCCAGTGCAGCAGAGCTTTACTTTTTGTGATTGTGTGAAAACAACAGGACTTACTTGTATCCCAGTGAGATACTAATACATGATTTTCAAAGATGCTTTTCATTTTAGATGAGGTTCTTTCACACTGTTCCTTTGGGATTTGTGATCTTGTGGACTTCTGTCATAAAGCCTGTATTTATTTTTCAGTCTCGAAGTTGACTACGCCAGGCTGGAAGCCACAATCCAGTGTCAAGCCAGCATCATCGAAATAATTGAGAAGTCGCGGCAAACCAAAAAGGTACTCAGGGCCTTCCCTTTTATGACCCACAGAACCTAGTTCCATATTCATGAGCTTTTCCTAGAGAGAACCTAGGAGAGATCAGTTCCTCTGTTCTACGGACTACAGATTGCTCTGAAAGTCCTGTCTGTTGCCCAGCTTTCTGGCATTTTAAGTTGTCCCATGAGACTAAACCAAATCCTACCTATTGCTGTCTGCCTTAGGGGTTGACAGTAACTTACTTAAGTATTAGTGCATTACCAGGTTTAAGCGTTTTCTGCTTTAGACCAATCAGAAGGTTGCGGCCTCAGACAGCACTTCAGACAGTCATACTGTAGAGGGATTTGGTACATTTGCTTGTGGGCTTTCCATGGGCTTTGGTGATGCTGAGCACTTCCTCCCGGCAGCCTGACTGGCATCATCAGACTGTGACAGGAATTCTTCAGTTGCCTGTATTGCAGCCACCTTCCTGATTTAGAGACTGTGGATTCCCTGGCCAGAAGGCATGGGTCCATAATGCAGTGAGATGACCTCCAAAGATGAAAATCCCTTTGCACAGTGGAGGGCACAGGGACCTGTGGCCTTACCGGACTGGACACTCCGAGACATGGCAGGAACCCAGACTTTAGCAAGCTTAGACTGTAAGGGTATAAAAGGCCTGGATTTTCTTTTGTTCGGGGTCCCTCCTCGGAGGCACCCAGCTCGAGCTGCTCTTTTATTATTGCACCATAATTATACTATTTGAAGGATTGAGATGACTGAGACTCTGCTGTGGCAAGCCTGGGGTCGAGCTGTTAAGGAAGCCTTATCTGACTGTGTGAGCGTGGGGGTGTAGGGAGTCAGGCGGGGCAACCATCGGCTCACTGGAGCCACCCACTGCAGAGTGACTCAGCTGAAGGGACTGCCAGAGTGGCTCCTGGATGATAGCACAGGAAAGTTTCCTTAGCAGTTGCATCTGATTCCATGCATTCAGAAGCCAGGGGAATGGCATGAAGCTGTGTCAGGGGAGGTTTACTTCAGATGTTAGGAAAAGGTTCTTCACCCAGAGGGCAGTTGGACCTTTTCTCCCTGCAGGAGACTTTCTTGGCACATTACTGCTCCAGCCACCCTCCGTGTTTTACAGAGCACAGGAGTCAGTTGCAAGGGAATATTTTCTACTCTTCCTATCCTGTCCACCCCCACAGCTGGTGCCAACTCTTTCTCTCCCACAGACATGCAATTGCTGCACCATTCACGGAGGAGCGAGGCTCAAGCTACCATGAGAAACACAGTCATCTCTCCAGTGCAATTAAACCAGCAGTGCTTGAGCCCTTTCAGTGAAGACTCTGAGGCAAACTACACGGAGAAGGGCGCTCTGGAGCTGAGACCCTCTTTGAGGCTGAAGACATCAGAACGACCACCAGAACAACATCCCAAAAGAGGGCTCCACCCCAGACTCTGCCCAGACTCCGCCTTTTATGAATATTTTGTTTTCCATTTTAATCTGTCTATTTTAATTTATTTGTCAAGTTAATTTATTTGTCTTTTATAATTTCTTTGTCAATAAAGCTTTTACTGTTGATTCTCCTCCCTGTTTCACTGGGATGGGGAGGGAGAGGGTGTGAACATGTAGCTGCACGGGGCTTAATTGCCAGTTGGGCTTAAAGCAGGACAACGGTGTATGTTTATTTTCTAAGACACCTCTGCATCTTGCTTGCATAAATGGCTGTGCAGATGTTGTTCGGTTTCTAGTAAGCAAGAATTGCAAGCTAAATCCTCGTGACAAATATAAGAAGCTTGTGCTTAGGGCCAGGAATTATCAAGAATGGGCACAGAAGCCAGCCCCAGTGGTGGAAAACCTCAAGTGGCATGGGCCATGGGAGGATATGGGTAAATTTCTAGAAAGTGGTTCAGTTCCTACAACATGGAAGCTCACTCTCAAACAACTCCTAAACCCTACAAAGATAATGACAGCTGTGAGGGAGAGAGGTCGTGGTAAACCCATAGAGAGGCAGGTGGCAGATGCATGTGGGGTTTTAGCCGTTGCCTACAGAAAGCTGCTCAGTATGGTGCAGCCCTCACAGGGAAAAGGAAAAGATGAAAACGAGAGGCCTGATACAAGACTGACTCCAGATAAGGTCAATTCCAAGGGACCAAACAAGTCAATGGAGGTTGCCCCTATTCAAAAGAGGAAATAGAAGAGCAAATCAGCCCGCCCAGTTGATGATGATGGGGAGGCAGGACCCTCACAGGCAGCTAACCTGGAGCCAGAAATCATCACAGAGCCCTTATGGTATGACAACCTCTAGAAATTACGGGCAGATGTTATTCGTCACCCGAATGAGCCCATACTGACCGGGATGACCCGAGTTTGGGACTCCACGGGTGATGCCATAAACCTTGATGGCGGTGAAGCAAGGTTCTTGAGGTCTATTGCCCAGGATGTGGGCATTGAGGAGGCATTTGTGAGAGAACCAAAGACCCTGTCTCTCTGGTACGGCTTGCAGAGAGGCCTTGCAGACAGACCACTGTGTGGTCTGGAATACCACAGAGGAGGGGATCCAGCGCCTGAGGGAAATGGCACTGTTGGAGGTACTGTTTGGAAGGGATATTCAAGCCACTGACGATCCTGACAAGGTTAGATATACCCCACTCATGTGGTGGATCTTCATACGTATGGGGCCATCTGCACATGTCAGTTACTTGACATCATTGGAGGCTGGGGAAAAGAGAGAGCCAGTGGCGTTTATAGCAAATAAACTTTGGATGTACAACAGTATGGTCCACGGACCATTACAAGCCCGCATTTCCTCTGTAGAGACATTGATCAATAACCTCACTACCATAACTACAAAACTACAAGATCAACAGGAGAAAATGCTAGAAAAGATTGAGGGAAATAGTTCCCAGGTGGCACCAGTGAGAACCAGCACCCCCTAGCTAGACAGGGTAGACACACCTCACGAACTGAGCTGTGGTATTTCCTATCTGACCATGGAGAAGAGATGAGACAGTGGGACAGGACACCTACCCATGTCTTGGCAGCAAGAGTTGAAGGACAAGAAAAAAACAAAGTCCGTGAAAGTGAGCTGAGCGCAGTGCCAGTATCCCGTGGGCAGGGATCTGACCCGCTAGAAGGTACCTCCCGCTGGTATTCGCAGACAGAAAACTCTGACGAGCAGGACAGAGACCAGTATCAGAGGGGCCCTGCCTCTACACAGGTAGAGGCAAGGGACAACCGTGTCTATTGGACGGTGTGGATCCGATGGCCTGGCACATCAGACCCACAAGAATACAAGGCTTTGTCGACACTGGCGCTCAATGCACGTTAATGCCCTCAGGACATGTGGGACCAGAGGCTATTTCCACTTATGGCGTGACAGGAGGGTCGCAACAGTTGATCGTGTTGGAAGCTGAAGTGAGCTTGACCAGGAAGGAGTGGCAGAAACACCCCATTGTGACTGGTCCAGATGCCCCATGTATCCTGGGCATTGACTACCTTAGGAATGGGTATTTCAAAGACCCCAAAGGACACAGATGGGCTTTCACAATAGCTGTTGTGGAGACAGAGGTGGCTAAGCAGTTGAATTCACTACCTGGTCTCTCTGAGAACCCTTCTGCTGTGGGACATGCAATTGCCATACCATTCACGGAGGAGTGAGGCTCAAGCTACCATGAGAAACACAGCCATCTCTCTAGCGCAATTAAGCCAGCAGTGCTTGAGCCTTTTCAGTGAAGACTCAATGTAAACTACACGGAGGAGGGTGCTCTGGAGCTGAGACCCTCTTTGAGGCTGAAGACACCAGAACGACCACCAGAACAACATCCCAAAAGAGGGCTCCACCCCAGACTCCGCCTATTAGGAATAGTAGGATTAGATGTTGCGGTTATATGAATATTCATGTAAAGATGTTGAAATCTCGCACCAAAACTGTACAAACACCTGACTTCACACTGATAACTTTGGGCTAGTTTTATCCAGCGTGAGCTGGCTAGCTCCCGACATTGCTTAAAATAAATACCCTTTGCTGCCTAAAGTCTCAACACTGTCTCTGAGCAGTTTTCATTGCGCCTTTTGGGGCATCACCCCCTACTCCCAGAACAGACTAATTTGTCTGTAACATGAGGAAATGAACTCTCCAAATTCCATATTGCCTTAATAGCAGCAAAAGGCAATAACAAATGCAAAAGGACTGCACGTTTTGTGTAAAGCTTTGGAAGGCTGTAGACACCTTTCATGCTCAGACAGCCTGAAGTAGAGCACAAAGGACCTGGCAGCAATCATTCTGCATGCATCATAGCTAATGACAGTATCATAGACCAGTATTGTCATCTACAGTAGATTTGCACAAAGTCCCAAAGTACCTGTTCCAAGTATTATGAAGTGGTGAGGCTGCACAAATTTATAGCTACACATAGTTTACTTTAGGATTTCATTTTCAACATGTAACCCCTATCAGACATACGTCATGGTCTGTTTGGATCTCTCAAGCTTACAGCACAATATATTCTGTAAACTAAACTTTCTTTTATGAGTTCATTTGGAAATAAAATAAATACATGTAACAAAGACTCAGTTCCCCTTGTACAGTCCAGTCTACTGTGAATTCACTACTTCATCACTTAATTTGTGAGGTTTCTAACTCACAAGATCTCTCAATTCCTAACTCACAAACCTTAGCTCATATGCTGTGAGACACTGGATTATTATATTAGTTATTGACTCAGACCAATTCAAGGGGGAAGGGGGGGCAGGGGGGTTGATAAAAGAGTCAGGTCAAACGTCATGAAGGTGAAATAGAACCCTGCTCCATACCCCAGCTCCTTGGAGCCTCTGGGGCAGCCCTGGAGCAGGTGTCAGTCCCTGGCATACAGGGAGCCCTCCCCCACACCACACTCCCTGGAGCCCCTAACCCAACCTCCAAATAGCTGGGGCACTGGAAGTCCCACCTGGGGTGGAGGGTGGCCAAAGCAGATAAAATCAGCACCATGCAGCCATCTGGACGTGTAGAAGGCTGGACTTGCATGGGACTCTGGGTGGTAGCTAGAATTCTTTTTCTTTCCCTTTCTTTACTTCTCCCAATCTCCTTTCTTGATAACTGGATAACTTAAAGCTGGGTGGGTTGGATTATGCTCAATTGTATGGATTAGCATGTGCTAAATCAATGCTTTGTGAAATGCTTTATTTTGGTTGAATGTTGCCCTTCAGACTTTTGCCAAGTTCCCTTATTTTCTGAAGTTTGCCAGGAGAAGTGTGTTATTCGACCTCCTGAGAAACATGTGCAGCATCTTCTCCCATGCGCTCTCTCAAGGTATGAAAAGAACTGTAGGCCTTTTAATGAATTTGGTGAGCTAATTTGTGGAGCCTCATATAGTTTTAAAGTAAAACCCCTTTGACATGCTTGTAGCTCAAACCTGGGGTCTTATACACGGCTGTTAGTAAAATAGATACTGGACTGACAGCAAGAGTGCTCCTTCTTCCTGCTCTATCACGCTGTGGTTGTTCCTTGTATTGCACTGGGAAGCATGAAAGCCTCGCAGTCCAACTGCTCTTGGGTCTGCTTGAAAAGTTTTTTGGGCGAGCTCATGTCATCATACCTTCCAGTCACTCGTATCTCGCCTTCGGGATCTCTCCATCCTCTCCCCACAGCCGCTTCCCCTCCCTCCTGGGGCTTGGCAGAGTCCGCTGGGCATCTTTGGTGTCTGCTGAACCCAAGTCGAGGCCGCTGAGCTTCAAGAGATAGTCTGGGTTGACCTGCACAGTGCGGCCCCCCGCGGCAACCTCAACCAGCTGGTGGCTGAAGAAATTCCTCATCAACAGCCACAATAAGGACAAGCACTAAGGGCAAAGAGCAAAGCCTCCACCTGTTGTGAAATGTGGAATTTGTCAAAATTATCAAAAGTCAGGGGGTTTTTGATGGATGGACTCTAGGTACTTTCAAGCCTAAGCAGCATGGAACAAACAGCAGTTAACATCCTTTAGTATTACTATATTTATTTTATTTATTTTCTATTTTAACCTATTTCTCTATTTTAATTTATTTGTCAATTTTTTTTGTCTATTTGTCAATTTATTTGTCTATTTTAATTTATTTGTCAAGTTAATTTATTTGTCAATTTTAATTATTTGTCATTCTCCTCCCTGTTTCACTGGGATGGGGAGGGAGAGGGTGTGAACAAGTAGCTGCACGGGGCTTAATTGCCAGTTGGGCTTAAAGCAGGACAATTGTGTATGTTTAATTTCTAGGACACCTCTGCATCTTGCTTGCATGAATGGCCATGCAGATGTTGTTCAGTTTCTACTAAGCAAGAACTGCAAGCTAAATCCACGTGACAAATATAAGAGATCACCCCTGATGATGGTATGTGAAAGGGGCATATGTTGTCTTATCATTGAAGATGTTTGAACTTTCCAGCGTTGGGAAGACACAGGAGTTC